CATGACAACCGTTGCGGTTGTCATGCCCTGATGGCGGCCCTGTCTGACCCAATAACTGTCATATTCAAACACTGTCTGACCCAATAACTGTCACATTCATACACTGTCTGATCCAATAACTGTCACATTCATACACTGTCTGATCCAATAACTGTCACATTCATACACTGTCTGACCCAATAACTGTCATATTCATACACTGTCTGATCCAATAACTGTCACATTCATACACTGTCTGACCCAATAACTGTAACATTCATACACCGAGTGTGAAGAAAAAACCCCTGTTTTATGGACTTAGTTTGACTGTTTTATTTCCCTCCCTCCTAGAACACCAGTTTAAAAACCCTTAATAACTGTCATATTTCCAAACGCTGTCTGTCTTTAACTGTCAGTTTGTTTTCCTCTGAGGAGGAGTTGTTTTTGCTGCGTGAGGGCTGTTGCTTTGTGTGTGCTCATTAAACAGACCTGCTTGACCCTTTCTTGAAGCCTTGGCTCATGCTTGGGGGATGGGATAAGTCTGGAGTGCTGATGGTGTCGGTTGGAGTGCTTGGAGTCCTCGGCAAGCACTAGGAGCATCGATTGGTGGAGGTACTCGGTCGGAGTGCCAGGTGATCCGTTACACCAACATTTATTTTCATTTTCTTCCAGGAAGGCTTTTTAATCTTCCTTCATTCGTTTTAATATATCATCTAATTTTGATCCGAATAGTCGGCCTGGTTTAAAAGATAGATCACGAAGAGAATTTTTGGGAGCAGCGTCTGCTGACCAGTTTTTTAACCAAACTGCTCTCCTTGCTACAGTAGCAAATCCCATAGATTTTGCTGAAATTTAAGGCTTTCAGCAGAGGAATCTACTAAAAATTCAGATGCCATTTTAATGTTTTGAAGGAGGTGAACCGGATCCTCTTTGGATTCTCCTGCATACACCTTCTCTAAAGTCTCTAACCAGAAGCCTTGGCCCCTGATGTACCTGCAATCAGAGCTTTACTTTGAGATGCTGAGGAGAGAAAAAGCTTTTTTTAAGGAAGAATCAATAGGTTTTTCATTGCATCTTTTAGGCCGCTGGAATCTCCAATGGGCAAAGTAGTCTTCTTAATTAATTCGGATATTGGAACGTCTACCACTGGTGAATCCTCCAATTTATACTCTGGTTCCTCTCTAAAAAAAAAAATTGTTTTGAAGATTTGGGATCTAAAAGGCTTATTTGCTGGATATTTCCAATCCCTCAAAATTAAATCTTTTGAGGGTGAAAAGGAAAGGATCTTAATTTTCTCCCTTTACACCGAAGTTGTTTTTTATTTTCCAATTAGCCCCTGCACTTCTTTAATAAGCTTGTTAATGCATTCTTCTGGAAATCAACAGTCTTCATCTGTCATGTTTATGTAGGGGAACCCAACACTCACAGACCCTAATCTGCTAAAAAAGATATATACCATGTATTACCGGACCTTAGAATGGCCAGATTTAATTTATAGAATAGTCAAAGAGAAAGCCAAGGTCAAGAGAAGGACAAAACAGGATAAACGATAAACAAGCCAAGGTCAGGAACACAGAGAGTGGAGAGATAGCTAAACAAGCCAAGGTCAGGAACACAGAGAGAGGAGAGATAGCTAAACAAGCCAAGGTCAGGAACACAGAGAGCGGAGAGATAGCTAAACAAGCCAAGGTCAGGAACACAGAGAGCGGAGAGATAGCTAAACAAGCCAAGGTCAGGAACAAGAAATACAAAATACGATAAAGCGCACTCTTTGGTAATCAAGGACCACAACAGGACAACTTGCTACCGAAAGCCCTGGCTTTATACACTAAAACCTTTGGCTGGTGTCACCTTGGAGCACCTTAAGACCCGAATTCGGAAAACACAGAATTCGAGTACTTAGTCTGTTCTTTCGAGTCAACCAAAACGGCACTAAGAGTCACGACGTTCTGACATCGGTGCAACTGCACACAAATAGACACGCACTCATAGCGTGCAGCAACTGACCTGCCATCGGATCGGAAGCTCCGGAATGGGTAAGTATTACATCAGCAGAGGAATCACTGGAACTATCCTCAGAAGATTCATAAAGGAAGGAATCTGCGCTTGACTCAGAGAATTCCCACATTCTACACGTTTGCCTTAAAGGGGATTTAATAGTCAATTCAGAACTAACAGATGCGTGAGCAGACTGAATAGCTGCAGATCTGATATAAAAATGTCTGATCTAAGTTGAGCTGGAACCAGCTTAAAAATAAGGACATATCTGACTCTTTTGCTTCCTCTGAACAGACTGAACACATTCTCCTTTAAGAACCATCTAAGATAGATTGTGCACAGAAAGCACAGAGTAGATGTTTGGATTTGGATGTGCATTTTCCTTTCACAGTAGATCTCTCCATGGATCTCAGATTAGATATGCTAAAAAAAGTAAAAGAGAGAAACTTGTGCATGTGTTCCACAGCCAGGATCTCCCAGTATGTGCGCCCATGCACACCTTCTCTTTACCCGGCACCTGGTTGGTATTGGCGGAACTTTAAAACACAGGTGGACTGGTACAGGACGCCTACACTACTACACAGGATTTTACCAGTGGTACCGGTGACGTGCTGGAGGTGCAATGAAGCAGAAGGCACAGTGAAACACCTGTGGTGGGAATGTGCTGGCATACGACCGTTCTGGGAGGAGATCAGGAGTAAGATCACAGAAATCCTAGTGGACGGTCTCTCTCTAGACACTGACAACATGCTATTACACTCTACAACGCTCCCATATATAAGAAATCAATACTTAGACACCTCATTAATGCTGCAAAATCCCTGATACCAGCACTTTGGAAACATTTTGATGGAGTGGCGGAGACCTGCGAGTCCATCCGCATCTCTTCGTTCTGTACCTTTTCTATTAAAAATAAAAAATAAAAAAAAGTCTATTTCCTTAAAACATGGGTGATTGTATGATCCACCTGTCAGTGTATTGAGCAGAGGCCTTAGCAGACGGTGCTTCCTGGCAGATTGAAGCAAAGTCTCCCGAGCCGCGGCTCCCTCACCATGCTTCCAGAATAAAACAAAAAGGGGTAAGCCTGACCACCTCTCCTGCTGGAGGCAGGCAAAGAACTGGGGATTATTTGGTAAAGGGGCACTTTATAGCACCGAGGGAGGAGTTGGGGAGGATCTTTAAAAACATTATTTTGGGTATGCCTGCCTTTTTTCCATTCAGATTAGAGAAATCCCTGTTATCACTGCACTGCCTCTAATCTGGAGGGGAAAAGACACATTTCAATCAGTATGTGTAATACAGTCCTCCTTTAAATCTTTAAATGAGTAGCATGCAGTGCAATATTCTGCAACTTATACCCCAGCAGGGGTATAAGGGTTGAGGGAGCTTGGCATTATTACAGAGAAGCTGCGGACAGGCCTTGGGACGTCACCACCAATTTACCAGCATTGCATCTGCTTGTGGCTATTCACCCTCCCTGCTCACCAACTCACCCTATTCACCCACTTACCCTAATCACTCATTCACCCTGCTCACCCACTCACCCTATTCACCCACTTACCCTAACCACCTATTCACCCTGTGGATGCAATTTGATATTGTTGGATACACTTTTCAAATAATTTCATATTTATGGATACATTTTTAATTTTTTTTGTAAATATTAAAAAAAATAAATAGAACATTATATGAAATTAATTTAAAAGTTTTTCCAAAAACATTAAAGCGGCACTGTCATGCCGAAATTACCTTTCCCCGATCGATTCCTCTTCTCCCCCTCTCTCGGGATCTGTTATCCATTTTTTCCTGTCTGCTCTAGTTTTCTTAAAAAAATTAAGACAAAGTAGGGACTGTTTCCCTTATAGAGGCTTCCATTTCCATTGCCATGACCAGCGGAGGAGCAAAGTGTGCTTCGTTTCCGGTGGTCAGAGCAATTTTCCCATAATCCTTACCTTTCCTCCCTGTTCCCACGATGCTTCCTGTCAGTATTGCCGAATGTCCTGTCACTTAGACAGAACGCCGGCAAAACTGCCGAATTGCATCCTAACAGAATGAGAACAGTTTGTTCATTCGTGTTAGGACACAATTTGGGAGTTTGTTCGGATTGCTGCTCGGCACAACTTTTCCTGTCAGGATGGTAATGCCGCTCAACACAACTTTTCCTGTCAGGACGGTAAATGCCATTAACCACATTTTTAATGTGCGGATGAGTACGTGACAGTTATGTTCATGCGAACGGCCGCCAGGGAGCCATCGTTCAGTTCCATTTGTGAGAAAGGTGCAGAATCAGGGGCACCCAGGTAAAACTGCTAAGAAAAGCTGGGCAGGGTAACTTCCAAACGGTGTCTCAGACCCGGACCATAGTTGGTGGGCAGGAAGCAGATTTCCACACTCCTCCAGGAGTCCATGGCAAACTTTCTTGGGAAGGAGCGTGTGGCGGAACATACCGCTAATTTAGTATGTTTTACCTTTTATCCGCTTGGGAGTTATGGAATCCAAACACTTTACATTCGACTCCCGAACAAGGACCACAAATACAAAATACAAAAACAAGAAATACAAAATACAATAAAGCGCACTCTTTGGTAATCAAGGACCACAACAGGACAACTTGCTACCGAAAGCCCTGGCTTTATACACTAAAACCTTTGGCTGGTGTCACCTTGGAGCACCTTAAGACCCGAAGTCAACCAAAACGGCACTAAGAGTCACGACGTTCTGACATCGGTGCAACTGCACACAAATAGACACGCACTCATAGCGTGCAGCAACTGACCTGCCATCGGATCGGAAGCTCCGGAATGGGTAAGTATTACATCAGCAGAGGAATCACTGGAACTATCCTCAGAAGATTCATAAAGGAAGGAATCCCCATTAGAACATTCTCACCTCGTAACTTAAGCACGAAACCACAAGGATAGTAATGAATGAATGCTTCCCCTTGGTGGCCACCATTTCGTATAACCGAATGCCTGTGGTCAGCAAAAGAGTGGTGGCCATTTTGTCTCCAGAATGTGGGCTCCCTTCATTGAGTGCCTGGAACTCTTCAGGCTAGACACTCACACGAACCCCGGCAAAGGTCATACTGCTGCCCGTTCTATTTCCCAACCTCCTATGCGAACGAGATGGGAACTATTGGTTCCACGAAATCAAGAGAATCCCTTGCATTGTTTTAGCACGGGAACCCTCAAACATAGACCTATTTCCCTGGAACTGTTTTTGGCTATCCAAGTGGAAAAACAAATAAATCTCCAAAATAGTATCTATTAATGTTATTAATTAAACTTAACTTTTCTTTTGATGAATAAAATAGGTGCAAAAAGTGTACCTAAGCCAAAACAAAGAAATACGAATAAATGAAATAAATTAAGTGAATATATACAGGATAGTTTCCACTATTGTGGGGCAATGCAGTGCTAGTTCCACATTTAATACCTAGTAAATTGTTGGTACCTAAAGTGAAACATAATGAATTGTAGCATAATTATCAGAGGCTTACATATAAAATTCCGTGGTAAACACATTCAGTAATTTAACTAAGGTAGCAGATATGTCTATTTCCGAAGTCCGGTAAGCGGTAGTAATATGCTGACCTTTCAATGTCTTAGACTGCTACCCAAGCCCCTGACGCGCGCGTTTCGCCAGTCAGCTCATCAGAGGGGAACCGAGCACAGGTAGGTTTCAGTGGCTTTAAATCCTGATCTCTTAGGTGATAGGTCAGTATAAGTTTAAATTGACCAATAGAAATAAACCTACCCCCCTACCCCCTGCAATGAATGCAGTGTGTGTTAATGTAATGAATGCAGTGTGTGTGGCAGTGTAATGAATGCAGTGTGTGGCAGTGTAATGAATGCAGAGTGTGTGTCAGTGCAACGAATGCAGTGTGTGTGTCAGTGCAATGAATGCAGACTGTGTTAGTGTAATGAATGCAGAGTGTGTGTTAGTGCAATGAATGCAGAGTGTGTGTTAGTGTAGTGAATGCAGAGTGTGTGTCAGTGTAATGAATGCAGAGTGTGTTTCAGTGTAGTGAATGCAGTGTGTGTGTCAGTGTAGTGGATGCAGTGTGTGTGTCAGTGTACTAAATGCAGAGTGTGTGTCAGTGTGGTGAATGCAGTGTGTGTGTTAGTGTAATGAATGCAGAGTGTGTCTAAGTGTTGTGGATGCAGTGTGTGTGTTAGTGCAGTGAATGCAGTGTGTGTGTTAATGCAGTGAATGCAGAGTGTGTTAGTGCAGTGAATGCAGTGTGTGTGTTAGTGTAATGAATGCAGAGTGTGTGTTAGTGCAGTGAATGCAGATTGTGTGTGTGTTAGTGTAGTGAATGCAGTGTGTGTGTTAGTGTAATGAATGCAGAGTGTGTGTTAGTGCAGTGAATGCAGAGTGTGTGTGTGTTAGTGTAGTGAATGCAGTGTGTGTGTTAGTGTAATGAATGCAGAGTGTGTGTTAGTGCAGTGAATGCAGAGTGTGTGTGTGTGTGTGTTAGTGCCAGTGTGTGTAGTGTATGGATGCAGTGTGTGTGTTAGTGTAGTGGCAGTGTGTGTGTGGTGTAATGAATGCAGTGTGTGTGTTAGTGTTGTGGATGCAGTGTGTGTGTTAGTGCAGTGGATGCAGTGTGTGTGTTAGTGTTGTGGATGCAGTGTGTGTGTTAGTGCAGTGTGCAGTGTGTGTGTTAGTGTAGTGAATTAGTGTGTGTGTGTTATGTGCAGTGTGTGTGTCAGTGTGTGTGTTAGTGTAGTGAATGCAGTGTGTGTGTGTTAGTGTAATGAATGCAGTGTGTGTGTTAGTGTTGTGGATGCAGTGTGTGTGTTAGTGCAGTGGATGCAGTGTGTGTGTTAGTGTTGTGGATGCAGTGTGTGTGTTAGTGTAGTGAATGCAGTGTGTGTGTTAGTGTAATGAATGCAGTTTGTGTTAGTGTTGTGGATCCAGTCTGTGTGTTAGTGTTTTGGATGCAGTGTGTGTTAGTGTAATGAATGCAGTGTGTGTGTCAGTGTAGTGAATGCAGAGTGTGTTTCAGTGTTGTGGATGCACTGTGTGTGTTAGTGGATGCAGTGTGTGTGTTAGTGTAATGAATGCAGTGTGTGTGTTAGTGCAGTGGATGCAGTGTGTGTGTTTAGTAGTGTATGCATGTAAATGTAATAACTGTTATTCCCCCCTCCCTGTTTCTTACCTGGTTCAGGAAGGGGGGAAGTTGCCATGATCCCTGGTGGTCCGGTGGCATTGTGTCCCCCCCCCGGCTCCCTATACTTGCCCAGCGGACTGCAGCTGTACTTTACAGCATTTCCCTCGCTCTAACTCTCGCGAGATGTGGTGTGCGTGCCGCGTGGAGCGTTGCCATGGTAACCCTTTACGGCCGCACGTCTCATGGGAGTTAGAGCGAGGGAAATGCTGTAAAGTACAGCTGCAGTCCTCTGGGCCCCCTCTGCAAGTATAGGGAGCCGGGGGGGGAGGGGGGGGGTGCAGCTGATTGAGGTCAGCCACATCTTTATATAGGTGCAAAGAGTAATTGTGGGGCCCTGGACTGCCAAAGCAGTCCGGGCCCCCCAGGACCACCGTTATGGTTGTCACCCCCTGATGGCGGCCTTGGATACCATTGTAACTGTGTCCAGAGGTACTGATAAAATACAAAGAATACGGATAATAGAATAAATGGCTAAAATAAAGGTAGTGTTATTTTATGTTCTCACAGTAGAATAGATAAAGATAGATAATGTGTAAAACTGATACATATTATTTATATAAAGCTATTGGATATGTATCATAAGAAGATATACATCTTAGAAATATATCCAATGTGAAGTGGATTGCTTGCTTCTGATAACGTAATGACTCTGGAATAACAGTATCCAATCAGTTGATACTCATTGTGCTTTACAATGTATCTCCTCTCATATTGCAGAATGATAGCATTCACAGATCAGGTTGTAGTGCCCTTTCCTAGTATTCAAATGTCTCCATTCCAGTATCCGAAAGGAGAGGTTAGATGGGTCTGTATTGTGATGGTTCCTCACATGATTCGCCACTGGTGTCGAAACGTTTAAATTAGTGATAGAATTCACGTGCTGCAGAATTCTTCTGCGAAATTCCTTTATTTACTTTAATTTTAGCCATTTATTCTATTATCCATTTTTTTTGTATTTTATTAGTACCTCCGGACACAGTTACAATGGTATCTGAAGGGTTAATTTGAGATTCATTATCAAGAAAGACACAACCCTCTTTATTTCTATTGGTCAATTTAAACTTATACTGACCTATCACCTAAGAGATCAGGATTTAAAGCCACTGAAACCTACCTGTGCTCGGTTCCCCTCTGATGAGCTGACTGGCGAAACGCGCGCGTCAGGGGCTTGGGTAGCAGTCTAAGACATTGAAAGAGGTCAGCATATTACTACCGCTTACCGGACTTCGGAAATAGACATATCTGCTACCTTAGTTAAATTACTGAATGTGTTTACATTCAGTATACAATTATTCATTAGATGTCAGACATTACCGCATTATAGGTGTGGAGACATCGAGTTACCTCAGCTATAACCACTATTGCTACATTCTTAGGTATTTCAGTCTCCCTACAAAGATTGGGCATGGTGGGCTATTAGTGAGAGATAGTTTTTTGGGTAAGGGGTGCCCTCGAAGGCACATTAGCTGGATTCTCCATCTTGATTAGGGCTAACTTTAATTCTCACTCTTTCCCTCTCCTCTCCACTGCTCTGACGCTATTATTCAGTAGTTATCACAGATCAATACGGTTACAGGCATATGTAATTGGAGTGTTTGATACTTATTTTTCACACTCTTTGTATGCTACAATTCATTATGTTCCACTTTAGGTACCAACAATTTACTAGGTATTAAATGTGGAACTAGCACTGCATTGCCCCACATTAGTGGAAACTATCCTGTATATATTCACTTATTTTATTTCATTTATTCGTATTTCTTTGTTTTGGCTTAGGCACACTTTTTGCACCTATTTTATTTATCAAAATAAAAGTTAAGTTTTAGTACATTGCTTGTTCTCACATTAATAGATACTATTTTGGAGATTTATTCGTAATTTTGTTTTTCTATTTGAATTCACCATTTAGGGATTACCCCCCATTTTCTCAAAAATCTCCAAGGTACCTATTTTTATCTAATTGCTATATATTGGCTCATTGTTTCTTTTGTTTATATCTGTTTTGGGCTATCCCCTCGTGTCAGGCAATCTTTACCCTGGTGGCAATCCAATTCTACCAAACACTGATACTTGGCCAGATTCAGATCAGAGTTATCCGGTGATGTAACTTTTGAGGGGTTCCTAGTTATGATGGGGGTACTTTTGGGGTACTTTTGGGGAATCCATCAGTGGAGATGGTGACCTGAACACTATCTGAGGTACAGACATATCTGTTGGCCAAAGGGAATGGGGCGAACCAGTAACAATTGACCGAACGTCGGGCATTAGATGTATCCCCAGTCAGTTCGGCATCTCCCAAGCACAAGCCCAAGAACTCTAGCGTAATACAGTATAAATTAGAGGGTGAGAAGCCTGATTTCATGTTTATTTGTGAGTGCACCTATTTGCATTAAAATATCACTCACTAATTTATACTGTATTACACTATGTCAGTTCTCTAACTCTTTATACAGATTTCATTTATGATTCACGACCTATATTTCAGGTTATTTGTATTTTTTCTATATTACCACGTATTGGGAGGTGTTTCCACTTTGTCTTTTTAACTACCAATGTTATTGGTCCATGCTCTGAGGAAGGAATCCACCGCATGTTCCATGTTAACATGCTGAACCACTACCATGAGCCGAAGGAGGATGTAGCCGCTATTTGTGCTCCGGCCTCGGAAGATTTTTATAATCTTCCCCTACCTGATCTCCTAGAGAAAGGAGTTCAGGCAGGGTCCATAAATGAGGACCAGTGAAGAACGCAGGCAAACACAACAGATGCTGTCGGCAAAAAGAGACACGTTCTCTATCTTACCTGGATTCACCCCCCTCACCCGCTATAGAGTAGAAACTCACAACCAACAACCTCTACGCCAAACCCCGTACAAAATCCAAGAGGCTCAACGACAAAACCGTCTCAGATGCGTACCCCATAGACAAGCTCTTGGATAGAATGGCTCGGGGTCAGTACCTTACTACTATTGACTTATGTAAGGTCTACTGGTAAATCGATTTAGCGGCAGATATTCCTAAGTCGGCATTTGTCACTATCCACTTCAATTCGAAGTACTGCCATTCAGAATAAATAATGCCCCAGCCACCTTCCAAAGGATGGTGGATAGGCTTTTAGATGGCCTCCAGGATTATGCTTGCGCATATCTGGATGACATTGATGTATTCAGCGACACTTGGGAGGAGCATCTGATACATGTACGAGCCAAACTAGACAAGATTAGAGAGGCAGGGTTAACATTGAAGCCCAGCAAATGCCACATAGGCATGGCAGAGGTGCAGTACCTCTAGTATGGGAAACAGAAGCCCGAACCAGCCAAGACTGAGGTAGTAACCAATTGACCTCTCCCACGCACTAAGACCCAAATAATGGGCTTTTGGTGGCGTTACTACAGGAAATTTGTTCCCAATTATAGCACCCTAGCTGAGCCTCTCACTGACCTGACCCGCAAAAATGTACCCTGCCAAGTAAGGTGGACCCCAGAGTGTAAGCAAGCTTTCCAGGAACTTAAGAGAGCCCTTGTAAACGCACCCGTCCTGGCCGCTCCTAATCTAAAAAATATTTTCTCATCCACACAGATGCCTCCATGTTTGGATTGGAAGCAGTGCTAAGCCAGGTCGGGAACGATAGAGGAGAACATCCTGTGGCTTACCTAAGCAGAAAGTTACTTACTGGCTTAACCGGGTCGCTGGAGACCAGTGGTGTACATTCCAGGGTCGCAGGGGTCGCGGATGTGACCGGGCCTGGCCCACCAGGGGGCCCTGTTGTCACCGGGCGGGCGCACAAGGGAGTATTCTCCCCTGAGTGCTTCTTCTTCAGCTCCCTCGCGCACCGCACTGATACCAGCATCAGTATGCGGCATGCAAGGGAGCTGAACAGGGAGCACTCAGGGGAGAGTGCTCCCTCGTGCGCCCGCCAGCCCGCCCAGTGACAGCAGGGCCAGCAACACCACTGGACCCCAGGTAATCCCCTTAGCTCTCCAAAAGGTAAGGAGGCTGGGGGATTAAATTTAAAAAATAAAAGTATATGTGTTAGAGTGTGTGTGTGTTCGTGTGTGTGTGTTAGTGTTAGAGTGTGTGTGTGTTAGTGTTAGAGTGTGTGTGTAATTGTTAGAGTGTGTGTGTGTTAGTGTTAGAGTGTGTGTGTAATTGTTAGAGTGTTTGTGTGTTAGTGTTAGAGTGTGTCAGTGAGTGTGTTACTGTGCGTGTCTGTTACTGAGTGTGTTAGTTTGTGTGCGTCTGTAAGTGAGTGTGTGCTCTTGGCGCTGGGGATCTCTCCGCCCCGATCCGCCTCTCAGCTCCGAATACGCATGCATGGCAAGACCCGCGCGCACATTCAAACTGCCCATAGGAAAGCATTACTCAATGCTTTCCTATGGATGTTCAGCGTCCTCTCACTGTGATTTTCACAGTGAGAATCGCGGAAGCTCCTCTAGCGGCTATCAGTGAGACAGCCACTAGAGGCTGGATTAACCCTCAGCGAAATATAGCATAGCACTGGGGCCCCATGGGTTGTGTGTACTCCACTGCTGGAGACAATGCCAGGCTTTTACGTTGGAGACTGGCCTTACAGCCATAGGACTTTACCATTCATTATCGGCCCGGGAAGCAAAATGGGAACACCGACGGGTTATCACGACAAACAAAACTGAAGAAGTGATCTGTGAGGATCAGACTGTGTATGCTGGCTTGTGGTTATGGGGGAGCTGTGTGGCGGAACATACCGTTAATTTTGTATGTTTTACCTTTTATCCATTCAGGATCATATAGTATCTGAACACTTTACATTTTACTCTCGAATGAGGACCTCCTGGTACCCCATTAGAACGTTCTCACCTCGTAACTTAAGTCCGAAACCGCAAGGTAAGTAATTAATGAATGCTTTCCCTGGGTGGTCGGCAAAAGAGTGGCGGCCATTTTGTCTCCTGAACATGGGCAGCTGCACTGTGACGCAGCTGACAACGGATTCATTCACGGAACCAATCGCAGAAACAGAATCCGTTTAATTGGCTGCAACAGGCTTCCTGCTGACCATGGTAGTCTTGGATTACTATTATTTATATAGCGCCAACATATTCCGCAGCACTGTACAACGATATAAAAGGGGGAGTAATCCTTATCTTTAAAAGAAATGGAATCCAAGCAATGGTTGAATTTGACACCGTGCTTAGTGCTCAGAAAGCCAAAGCTGCGTTAAATGGAGCAGATATATATGTGGGATGCTGCACGCTAAAGATAAAGTATGCCAGGCCATCACGACTCAACGTTATTCGCAATGACAATGATAGCTGGGATTACAGCAAACCCTACCTAAGCAGAAGAGATCATGGTAAAGGCTGCCAGAGGCAAGCCATTCTTGGAGTCCTCGGCAACCACTAGGAGCTTCGATTGGCGGAGGTACTCGGTCGGAGTGCCAGCGGGTCCGTCACATTTGGTGGCAAGCGGTGGGATGGCGTCCTAGTGTGAGGAGAAGCAGCCCAGTGACACCGGTAGCGTTACGGAGCTACAAGTGTGGGGGCGACGCTAGCACTTGTGCAGCACCCCTGTCTACAGCGGAATACAAGGCAAGGGTCGGAGCGCTAGTGGCCCAGAGTGGGGCCAAGCAAACATGACCTATTGCTATGAGGGCGACACTTACATCACGGAGGTAAAGAGGCGGTTAGTCGAGTATGACCCAGACCTTTCGGAAGAGGTGATCGTCCGTATCATGCAAGAGTTGGACGAGGAGAACCAAGCAGCACGGGAATGTGAGTTCAGATTGTGGAGACTGGGGACAACCGGTCTCCCTCCCCAGCGGCAGTGCACCGTGCAGAGGGAAGAGACAAACGGTCTCCTTCCCCAGCAGCAACCAGAGGTACCCGAGGTGGCAGACCTCGTAAACTGGTCCTGGGAGGACCCCCAACAGGCAGGTGGAGATGGGACCGAGGTCTCTCTACCGGCCCTACAGGGATGCTGGGCAGCCGGCCTAGATCGCCAGTTGCAGCCAGAGCTACAGAGAGAGGAGGCAGGTGGTCCTTATTCCCAAGTCCTGGGGGATCTCATAGACTGGTCCTGTGAGGAACCCCAACTGGCAGGTGGAGATGGGATCGAGGTCTCTCCACCGGCCCTTCAGGCCGCAGCTGCAGCTGGAAGTACCGGGAGTAAGGACAGGCGGTCCTACTCCCCAGCGGCAGTACATCTCACAGGGAGAGGAGACAACCGGTCCCCCTCCCCAGCAGCAGTATGCTTCCCATGGAGCAGAAGGTGCCGTCCTCCCTCCCCAGCGGCGGTATGTCTTATAGGGAGAGGAGACAGTCGGCCTCCCTCACCAGCGGCTGAATGTCAACCAGTCTCCCTCCCTCAGAGGTAGCCATGGTAGGGGACCTCGTGGACTGGTCCTTGGAGGACCCCCAAACGGCAGGTGGAGATGGGATTGAGGTCTCTCCACCGGCCCTACAGGGATGCTGAGCAGCCGGCCCAGATCCCCAAGTGCAGTTGGAGCCCCATGGAGAGGAGGCAACCGGTCTCTCTCCCCAGCGGCAGCAGGATTACAGGGAGGAGGAAGTAGACGACCCCTCCCCTCCACAGCCAACCCCTAACCTGGTACTGGGTTTAGTGGAGATGATGTTAGCCTCCACTGACCCCCTTCCAGCAGAAGAGCTGGCATCTGGGCAGAGCGCGGTCGGCCTCTGTCCTACCTTGCCCTCTTGGTCAGAGCCTGAATACCCACTGGCCAACCGACACCATCAGCACTGCAGACTTATCCCATCCCCCAAGCATGAGCCAAGACTTCAAGAAAGGGTCAAGCAGGTCTGTTTTAATGAGCACACAAAGCAACAGCACTCACGCTGCAAAAACAACTCCTCCTCAGAGGAAAACAAAATGACAGTTAAGTTCAGTCAGTGTTTGTATATATGACAGTTATTGGAATTTGCAGAACTGTGCCAGTACCATTTAAAGGGCCAGAACAGTCTTTTAAAACACCAATAAGTCCAAATGGTGTTTCTAACTGGCAAAATCTCCCAGGGACCATAGTCATACGGCAAGAGGCTGGTAATTAGTCCTCTCCAGGGACAAGTGGCGAAGGGCCCTTCGTCACAGGGACATCTTACATTAAAGGAGACAACGAAGGGGAGGAAAACGAAGGGGAGGAGGGGAACGAACCTTGTTGTCTCTCTCGGTAATGAACACTAAATAAAATAACAGTCATTAGGAATTCGTTTGTGAAACACAAAATCTGCACAACCGTGGCTTTTTGACAGCAAGGAGAGATTTTGGGGATGTTGCCGCCATAGATGGTGGCAGGACTGCAAGCGTCCGCAAAGATCTATTGTGGGCTGACCGCTATTCATTACATTGTGTATTTTACCATCTGAGTAGCAAGTTTTAAAGGGTTCTATAAAGTAAGGAATACAAAGATGCATTCCTTACACTATAGTAACCCTCCCCACCCCCCACCGCACTGCAAGGGTTAAGAAAAACATTGTAACACTTACCTGATTTTAGCGCCGAACTGCCTCCTCCGACATCATCCGATTGAGGGGGGCAATTGTGCATGCGCCGCTGCAAATTAGGCCCTCCCCATAGAAAAGCGTTGTTATAATGCTTTCCTATGGGGATTTTACTGATGCTGGATGTCGGAATGCAGATTACGAGGACGTCCAGCATCAGTCAGGCGACCAAAAGTTGTCTAGCAAGCAGGAAGTCCCATTAGTAGCTGTCTGATTGACAGTCACTGGAGGCAGTCTTAGTCCTGCAAGGTAATTATTGCAGTTTCTCTAAAATCTGATTTACATTGCAGGACTAAGGGGGACAGGGACACTTCAATGAGCTGGAGGAGAGAAGGAGCCGGAGAGGAGGAGGAGAGCTCCCTGCCCGGCGCTGGAGAAAGAGGCAAGTCTGGTCTGGGTGCCACAGTGTCCTGTTAAAGCAGCAATCTTGGAGGCCAAATGCCAACGCCTCCCATTTTCAGAGAAATGAAAGGAACACTGACATTAGACATATATGTATTGCAGCCTTTGCTTTCAATTTAAATTCCCCCCTCCCTCCCAAAAGTTAAATAAATCTTTCTTATTTACTGTAAAGCCCATTCCACATTGGTCTTACTGCAGCCCCTTCCTGCGTTGTGCCAATCAGCATCTTATTAGCTTGATGGTGTGCCTTCGACGTCTTCATGGAGAGCGAGGAGACTCGAACGTCATCGCTGTACAGATTGTAAGGACGCTCCGGGAAGGTCTTCTGGGGTCTGTCTGACTGCATGTGTGAGTGACAGCCTCCAGAGGAGGGAGTGGATTCTCAGAGCAGATAGTGTCTGCATTGCTGAGACTACAGTGTATGACAAACTTCCCTTTTCAAGTGAGTTTACAATGAGTTCTTGGAGGAGCCTCCTTGCCAGCTTCCTGCCCACAGACTATGGGCCCTGCAGGGAAACCTGTAAAAGACTACCGAACTTGACCGACTGTTAGCACTGATTTCGCTGGAACTGTTTTGGGCATGCCGCCATGCTTGCGGTCGGTCAAAGCTATGACTTCCATGAAATTCCTGAACCCCTGAAGTGATCTGGATGATTTTTGGATATGTTGGTCACCCAGATCAGGGCTATCACGGGTTTTGTGTGTTTTTAAGGTACTTTCTTGGGTTTCATAAAATTGTATGTTTTTCTGTGCTTGGAGATAATTGGGTTAGAAGTGCTGCGGTTTGTCCCCTGTTCCTGCTACACTCTCTGGACTAGGAGAGGTTTACCCACTGGAAGCTGGATCCTGGTCTTGGGTCCAGGGTGGGTGGAGGACGGCGAGACCCCAACCAAGCTGCGGCAGTTCGTGGGGTCCACAGTGGTTATGATGTTCCAGTGCAGTGATTAAAGGACCACTATAGGCACCCAGACCACTTCAGCTTAATGAAGTGGTCTGGGTGCCTGGTCCATCTAGGTTTAACCCTTTTTTCTATAAACATAGCAGTTTCAGAGAAACTGCTATGTTTACACTAGGGTTAATCCAGCCACTAGTGGCTGTCTTGTTGACAGCCACTAGAGGCGCTTCCGCGCTTCTCACTGTGAAAATCACAGTGAGAAGACGCCAGCGTCCATAGGAAAGCATTGTGAAAGCTTTCCTATGAGACTGGCTGAATGGGCGCGCAGCTCTTGCCGTGCATGCGCATTCAGCCGAGGAGGAGAGGAGACGGAGAGGAGGAGGAGAGCTCCCTGCCCAGCGCTGGAGAAAGGTAAGTTTAACCCCTTCCACCCCCTAGAGCGCGGCGGTTGGGGGACCCTGAAGTTGGGGGCACCCTCAGGGCACTATAGTGGTCCTTTAAGGTACTCGCAAGTACCAGGAAACAGTGATAGACAGAGGTACCCAGTCAGGGTGCCAGGCGGTCCGCTACACAGTGACAGTCTCTTTACAGCAGATCATTACAGTGACAGTCTCTTTACAGCAGATCAATACAGCGACAGTCTCTTTACAGCACAATGTTACAATGACAGTCTCTTTACAGCAGAACATTACAGTGACAGAACCAGTAGTTCTGGTTCCTATAATGTCCGTTAGACTCTATCAATATGATGATGCATTCCATTTCCTGGGGGCCTTTTTTGACTTTCAAACTACATTTTTCAAATAAAGTAATCTTGGGAACAGTCTGAGCCTTTCAGGGGTTGATGCCAGTGGAATTCTGTCACAATAACCGGTACAGTGGGCTGAGTCGGTTATGGAGCTCTGTGATACACTCATACACACTGCACATTACTGTGAGTTTTATTGCTGTGGAGCTCTGTGATACACTCATACACTGCTGCAATTTTTTTGCTGTGGAGCTCTGTGATGCACACATACACTGCACATTGCTGGGTTTTTATTGCTGTGGAGCTCTGTGATACACACACACACTGTACATTACTGTGAGTTTTATTGCTGTGGAGCTCTGTGATACACTCATACACACGGCACATTACTGTGAGTTTTATTGCTGTGGAGCTTTGTGATACACTCACTGTAGCGGAGAGTTAGTATAATCCACAGTATCTCTGCTGGGTAACAGGAACAGCATAAAATAATCCAGGTAAATAAATACAGCATACAATAATCCCGGTAGCGTTGTAAGAATCCTTCCCTCCCAAGAACTAGACGACACATAGGCTGGGAGTCAACTGAGGTTTTAATCACAGGTCACTGTATTTATGGGATTCCCAATGCAAGGGGTTTCCCTACTGACATTCCAGGGGTGGTACAGTAGGGGACTACATGGGGAACTGACCAACACATACATTTCTCCCATCATGCACTGCTGGACGAGAGGGATACTCCCACTGGAATATACCATTAAGTGGATTATCCCTCTGTGCAGCAGAACTTACATTTCACATTAAAATACATAACTTCCATTATATTCCCTTTATTTAAATGAATGGACGTTCGGTAGATAGCTGGGGGCTGAGCGCACAGTTCGTGGGAATACCGCTCAGCTCCCAGTCTAACTAACCGAACGCCGTACGAAATACACATTATTTCCAACATACTGTTAAAATAGCGATTGATATTAGGGGAACAAACTACTGAACGCCCAGGGCTCCCGAACGGCCTGGAAGTCCAGAGGTGTTTGTGCCGTTGAGTAGCCGGTTTTAGTTCAAGGCGCTCGACGGCAAAACACAGCTGGGCTAACAAAGGATCCAAGATAGCCGACCGCCGTGTGGTCGGTAGCCGAACGACGGCCACCTAGGGAAGCCTTTAACTACCGAATGGTCGACCACACACAAGAGGTCGTGTGGCACCCATTAACCGATTGCACGCAATCTGTTAATGGGCGCCACACGACCTCTTGTATGTGGTCGACCATTCGGTAGTTTATTCGTTTCACGAACAGTGTTGAAACTCACTGTTCGTGGAACTACAGTATGAATGCTGGGGCTTCATGCCGCCAGCATACGAATGCCCTTCATTCGCCTGAAATGAAAATATAGTAATACACTTGGTTCTCACAGCTGAAACAGGGATATAAACATATTCATATATGGATAGTCTTAAGTGGCTAGTTTTGCCACAATGCTCCCGCAGAACCAAGCCGGCATACACAGTCTGATCCTAAAGGATCGGCTTGGGGATGTCCGGAGGAGCACTCACGGATCACGGTTCTAGATCTGTTTGTTGGGATAACCCATTGGCGTTGCCATTTTGCTTCCCAGGGCGGTAGTGAATTGTAAAGTCAAAAGGCTGCAGCGCCAAACTCCAGCGCAGCAGCCTGGCATTGTCTCCTGACTCCCTGTTCAGCCACACCAATGGGTTGTGATCCGTGAGTAATGTAAACGGTTGTCCATATAAATAGGGCTGCAGTTTTTTGAGGGACCACACCACAGCCAGGCACTCCTTTTCGATGGCGGCGTAGCTGACTTCTCTGGGTAAACGTTTTCGGCTTAGGTAAGCTACTGGGTGTTTGCCGCCATCTTCTCCGACTTGGCTCAGTACTGCTCCCAATCCAAACATTTCGTTTAGTTGGATCAGGAGCAGAAAGTACAGGTGAGTTAACAAGTGCCGTCTTGAGCTGTTGAAATGCCTGTTCACACTCTGGGGCCCAGACTACTATCTTAGGGAGATTCTTACGTGTCAAATCAGTGAGAGGTTTGGCTAGGGTGCTGTAGTTGGCCACAAATTTCCAGTAGTACCCTGCGGTCCCTAAGAGGGCGAGTACTTGGGTTTTGGTGCAAGGGGTTGGCCACTGAGTGACTGCCACTATTTTAGCACGTTCCAGCTTCTGCTGTCTGCTTCCTACCCTGTGCCCTAGGTACTGGCGATCCCTATATGCCATTTGCTGGGTTTTAGGGTCAGTCCGGCTTCCCTGATCCGGTCCTATGTGGGTCAGATGCTCGGGCCAGGAGCAGCTGAAAATGGCGATATCATCTAGATACGCATGCATACTCCTGGAACCCATCCAATAACCGATCTACCATCCTCTGGAAGGTAGCCGGGGGCATTTTTCATCCCGAATGGCATGACCTTAAACTGATACAGGCCAAACGGGGTGACAAATGCAGACTTAGGGATAGCGTCCTCCGCTAGCGGAATTTGCCAGTACCCTTTACACAGATCTATCGTGGTGAGGTACTGGCCCCTGGCCATTTTGTCCAGGAGCTCGTCTATCCGGGGCACGGGGTAGGCGTCTGAGGTCGTTTTATCGTTGAGCCTCCGGTAGTCTACACAGAAATGGGTCATCCCGTCCTGTTTCGGTACTAGTACTACTGGGGAGGCCCAGGGGCTGTCAGAGTGTTCTATCACCCCTAACTGAAGCATTTCCTCAATCTCCTTCCGCATACTTTCTTTGACGGCTTCTGGTATGTGGTAAGGAGTTTGTCAAAGAGGGGTCTGATCTAGGCTTTCTACCTTGTGCGTGGCTAACGGGGTATAGCCAGGTAGATTGTAAAATGTGGCTCCCTTTTCCTGGATTAACTTTTGTACTTGGGTTCGCTCCTGGGGGTTTAATCGCTCTCCTAACTGTACTTCTCCCAGGTCTCCGCTCTGGCCCTCCTGGTCTAGGAGATCTGGGAGGGTTAGATTATCAAAATCCTCGGCGCCAGGGGCACAGATCGCGGTCACCTCTTCGGTGCGCTCGTGGTATGGCTTGAGCATATTCACATGGAGCATGCGTTTGCCTCCCGCGCCTGTAACCGGGCCGATCACATAGGTGGTATCACAGATCTGTTCTACCACCTTGTATGGGCCCTGCCAGGAAGCCTGCAGCTTATCTTTGTGGACTGGTCGAAGAATAAGGACTTTTTGCCCCACCTGAAAGCTGCGGTCCCTGGCTCCCTTATCATACCATCTGCGCTGTCATTGCTGGGCTACCTGGAGATTGTCTCTGACGGTCTGGTCAGCATCTCCAGGCGTTCCCTGAATTCAAGCACATAGGGTATGGTATAGGGTAAGTGGGGTAGAAACCTTTCCCAGTATTTCTGAGTATCTATGAACGTACGGATCATCTGTTTAAGTGTTCCGTTAAACCGTTCACAGAGCCCATTGGACTGGGGGTGATAAGCGGAGTTCAAGATTTGTTGTACCCCACATATCTTCCAGAGCTGATGCGTTACTTCAGCGGTAAACTGAGTGCCCCTATCCGAAATAATCTCCCGGGGGAATCCTACCCGGGCGAATATTCGCATCAGGGCCTCTGCTACTGTTTCGGCATGTACATTTGTTAAGGCTACTGCCTCTGGGTATCTGGTGGCGTAATCCACCACGGTCAAGACATATTTCTTGCCGGACGGGCTGGGCTTCGCTAAAGGTCCTATGATATCTACTGCCACCCTACTGAAGGGTTCCTCAATTATGGGCAGAGACCAGAGGCGTGCTTTGTATCGGTCTCCCCTCTTCCCTATTCTTTGGCAGGTATCACAGGTCTGGCAATATCGTTTAACGTCCTGTGAAATACCTGGCCAAAAGAAGTTCTGAGTCAGCCTGTGCTTGGTACGGCTGATTTCTAAGTGCCCAGACAGGGGCATATCATGGGCGATACGCAATAATTATAAGCTATACTTTCGAGGCACTATTAGTTGCTTAATGAGTAAAGGTATGGATCCGGACACCACTTTTTCTGCATGCCGGTACAGTAGTCCTTTGTCCCAGATATACCTTTCCCCCATCTAATCCTGCTTGATTTTTATCGAAATGGTCTTTGTATATCTGTAGGGAGGGGTCTAGGGCCACTTCCGATCCAAACTCTAGGGGTTTCGCCCATGGCATGACAATGGGCATGGGGGGTCATTGCTTACCTGAGCCTCAGAGTGGTTAGGCGATGCTGTGGTGCGGGCCTGTTGCCGGGTCACAACTGGGCTTCCTGTATGGTGGGCTAAGGAACAAATGCTGAAGTCAGCTCCCCCAAGTCGTTGCCCAAAATCACATCCGCTGGCAAGTCCTGCATCATCCCCACATACACATTCCCGTGCCCCGCTCCCCAATTCAAGTGCACCTTGGCCGTAGGTACTTTGTAAATCGCTCCCCCTGCCACCCGTACAGCAACACAGTCTCCAGTTAGATTGGGTTTTAGTACCAAATGACTCCGAACTAAGGTTAAGGTAGCCCCAGAGTCACAAAGTCCTTGTACCTTTCTCCCCTCCATTTGTACGTCCTGGTGGTGTCCTTGCCGGTTATCGGAGGCGGCCTGTATGGGATTCACCTTGTGCAGTGTTCCTAATGGTTCTTCCATGGGAGTGGCCGCCTCTGGTGTCCTATACGGTTCTGTCTGTACACAGTGTACGGCGGCTCGGTTACTAGGTGCTGCATTATTCCAGCTGGGCCTGAGTCGGTTACGTGGACAGTCCCTCTGGATGTGGCCCTGTTGATTGCAGGTGTGGCACCGAATTGGTGGACGTGCAGAGTACCTGGGGGGGTATGTATTTTGGCTTACCCCAGGTCGTGGCTGGATCGCGGGGGTCACTGCGGTGATCGCCGGTGCGAAGTTGGATGCTGGTCGGTTCTGTGTGTGCTGGTCCCTCCGGTTATCCTGGAACTCATCTGCCAGTTTGGCAGCCTCTTGCAGGGTGTGCAGTTTTCGGTCCCTTACACCATTTTGTAGGTTGGCAGGGATCCCGTTGAAGAACTGTTCCAGGACCATCAATTGGAACAGGCCCTCCAACGTGTTAACCTGGGTGGCTTCTAACCACCCCTTTGCAGCTCGCTGTAGCTGATGTGCCCACTCTACATGAGTGTCTTTCGTGGGCTTTTTAATGTCTCGAAACTTCATGCGGTATGCCTCGGAAGTTATCTGCGTACCGGGCTAAAATCGCTTGTTTGACTTTGTTGTAGTCCCTACCGTCCTCATCCGGCACAACCCGCTACGCTTCTGAGGCGCGACCGGATAGTCTCTCTGCTAGTAGGGGTACCCGATCCGCCTTGCTGATGTCGTGTAGTAGACACAGCCTCTCAAAATCCTGCAGGTAGTCATCCACGCCACCGTCAGCCTCTGAATAGCTTTTGAAGGCTTGGTAGGGAATTTTGACTTTCCCTGGGAAAATATCGACCAGTGTTGTGGCTCTTTCTCCTGCTTTTTGATTCCTCTGCGCCCTTCCGAGCCTGATATATTCCTGTACATCTGCGAAGAGCCTGCTGACCAGCTCTGCAGATGGTGGTTCTGGGAATAGAGACATCCTGCTCCTGAATTCTTTTGCGAATTCATTTTGTTCTTCCTCCATTGAAGGTGCTGCAGCAGCTGCTGCTCTGTCTCCTTCCATATGTTCTGCAATCAAGATAGCCTTCGCCTTGTTGCTGGCTATTGCTCCTCTTGCTTCAAGCAATTCTTTTAGTGTGCTTCGTTTTAAAAGGGCATAATTCGTTCTCATTCACCAGCCGTTCGTGGGTTTCCACGTGTTCTCGGCTCCGGTTTCATCCGAATGGGTTAACTTCCGAATTCCTGCTCTTTCTCCTCTATTCGTTTCAGTTTCTGCCGACCGTTGCTTTGCTGTGTAGTTTCAATCCCGTCGCTTGCCACCAATTGTAGCGGAGAGGTAGTATAATCCACAGTATCTCTGCTGGGTAACAGGAACAGCATAAAATAATCCAAGGAAATAAATACAGCATACAATAATCCCGTTAGCGTTGTAAGAATCCTTCCTCCCAAGAACTAGACGACACATAGGCTGGGAGTCAACTGAGCTTTTAATCACAGGTCACTGTATTTCTGAGATTCCCCATGCAAGGTGTTTCCCTACTGACATTCCAGGGGTGGTACAGTAGGGGACTACATGGGGAACTGACCAACACATACATTTCTCCCATCATGCACTGCTGCACGAGAGGGATACTCCCACTGGAATATACTGTTAAGTGGATTATCCCTCCGTGCAGCAGAACTTACGTTTTACATTAAAATGCATAAATTTCATTATATTCCCTTTATTTAAACGAATGGACGTTCGGTAGATAGCTGGGGGCTGAGCGCACAGTTCGTGGGAATACCGCTCAGCTCCCAGTCTAACTAATCGAACGCCGTACGAAATACACATTATTTCCAACACATTGTTAAAATAGCGATTGATATTAGGGGAACAAACTACCGAACGCCAGGGGCTCCCGAACGGCCTGGAAGTCCAGCGGTGTTCGCGCCGTTGAGTAGCCGATTTTAGTTCCAGGAGTTCGACGGCAAAACACCGCTGGGCTAACAAAGGATCCAAGATGGCCGACCGCCGCGTGATTGGTAGCCGAACGACGGCCACCTAGGGAAGTCTTTAACTACCGATTGCAACAACGACCTCTTGTGTGTGTGGTCGACCATTCGGTAGTTTATTCGTTTCACGAACAGTGTTGAAACTCACTGTTCGTGAAACTACAGTATGAATGCTGGGGTTTCAGGCTGCCAGCATACGAATGCCCTTCATTCGCCTGAAATGAAAATATAGCAATACACTTGGTTCTCACAGCTGAAACAGGGATATAAACATATTCATATATGGATAGTCTTAAGTGGCTAGTTTTGCCCCACTCACACACTGCACGTTACTGTGAGTTTTATTGCGGTGGAGTTTTGTGAGACACTCGTACACACTGCACATTACTGTGAGTTTTATTGCTGTGGAGCTCTGTGATACACTCATACACACTGAGCATTACTGTGAGTTTTATTGCTGTGGAGCTCTGTGATACACTCATACACACTGAGCATTACTGTGAGTTTTATTGCTGTGGAGCTCTGTGATACTCTCATACACACTGCACATTACTGTGAGTTTTATTACTGTGGAGCTCTGTGTTACCCTCTTACACACTGCACATTACTGTGAGTTTTATTGCTGTGGAGCTCTGTGATACTCTCATACACACGGCACATTACTGTGAGTTTTATAGCTGTGGAGCTCTGTGATACACTCATACACACTGCACATTACTGTGAGATTTAGTGCTGTGGAGCTCTGTAATACCCTCATACACACTGCGCGATACTGTACGTTTTACTGCGGTGGAGCTCTGTGAACATTTTCGAGTTATTAGTTCTGACGTTTTTTCCCACTATTTATTATTTTACAGGAATACTTTTCTGTTTTTAAGATTTACTTTTTCTTACAATTACAATAATTAAGTATCTCCAACGCATTCTGCAGCGCTGCACAATAGGTTAACAATTCTAATAGAACGTATTTGATGTACGGAAGGTGAAGATGGACAACCTGCGATATTTCTGCATTATGAAATGATTTTATTTTCTGACATTATTATTTATATAGCGCGATCAGATTCCGTAGCGCTGTACAACGAGACATCCTCTGATCTCAACGTAGACAGCGAGGGTGAATAGCAGGGTAATTCGCACCGTATGTTTAGGTAACGGTAGACAATCAGGCACAAAAACGTGTCTGAAAATAAACAAAAAAGGCAGCATTTGTTGTAGTATATATATATTTTTTTATTTACTAAATTTGAAGAGACTTTAAACCCCAATAAAGTTTTCAGCAAAATTAGACAAATGTCTCCCTGTGCGTCACTCGGCCAGTTATTAGGGACACGACAGTCACCCCCAGGCAGTTATAGTACGGCTCGGTATGCAGACCGTACTGGCAGGGAAGGGGTTAATCCAATGTCCTCACTCAGACACTGGAGGGAGGGCAGAGCCAGGAATGTGCTCACATTCCCTCTACTCCCAGCAGGGGTGGCGGAGTGGGGGAGGGGGACTCCTCCAGAGTCAGACTCTGTCCTGAACAGGAATCAGTGCAGGTCTCACTCAGGGACCCAATACCTGGATCCTGTGCCACGGGGCCCTAGGAAGTGGAACCCAGATTCTGTTATTTAGTAACAATTTCTGGCACCATGTCAGATCCAGAAACTAAATCTGCCACAGTGTACCCAGCCCAGTGCCCGCAGTGCCAGGAGCTGTTCTCAGATCCACGAATCCTGCCCTGTCTGCACACACTGTGTATGAGCTGCCTGAACAGACTGGAGCCTTTCAACACCAATGGTAAGCTGACACAGGGGGTGAACCAGAGTATCCTGTGCCCAGTGTGTGATTCTGAGGTGGCACTGCCCCCTGGAGGGGTAACTGAGTTGGTACCAGACATGCTGGCACAGGAAGAGGTGCTGCTGGCACTGTATAGGAGTGGAGACCACGAGCTGGCATGTGACCTCTGTGGAGAGGGCAGGGCAGAGAAACGATGCCAGGACTGCAAGGTTAACATCTGTGAATTCTGCTGCCAGGCACACAGGTAAGTGACCATAGATTGTAATATTATATAATACAGTAAGTGAACACAGATTATAATATAATATTACCGGTACACAGGTAAGTGACCATAGATTAGAATATTATATAATACAGTAAATTAACACAGATTATAATATAATATTATACAGTAAGTGAACACAGATTATAATATAATATTACCAGTATCCAGGTAAGTGACCATAGATTGGAATATTATGTAATACAGTAAGTGAACACAGATTATAATATAATATTATACAGTAAGTGACCAAAGACTGTAATATTATATAATACAGTAGTTAACACAGATTATAATATATTATACAGTAGTTAACACAGATTATAATATAATTGTGGCAGAACCCCTTTGGCTGTCCAAACTATTTCCTTTTTATGGTTGGCACTTAAGAGTTTTCCCTGTGCCTGGATTATATAGGATCACCTACCACCATAGGTGGCTACACATTGTTCGGTAATGGCTATATTCACCATATGAGTTAAACTACCCAACAACCGGACCACCCTAATGTGAAGGGTGGCTGTAATTTACCTCCCTGATTGCTTGTTACATTCCCTTGAACGCACGAACACTCTGTTGTATTCCCTGGGTAGCCGCCATTTCGGCAGCCTAACACGTGGCGGCGGCCAACTTAAACCCGCGAACAGCGGTGTTTGGTCGTCGAGTGTCTGGAACTCAAAACGGACACTCGACTAACCGAACACCGCTAAGACCTCCAGGGCGTCAGAAAGTACAAATGGAAACGCGCGAACGGCCCGTCGTTCGGTAGGATGAATCCCACGAACTAGGGGATTCATCCGGTTACAACCGTATCTGTGAATGGCATAGCCTTTCGGGACTTTTGAGGCACGAACAGAGACCGACCGCTGCGCCAGATCTCATGGAACTAATTTCAGCTACTTTACCCATGCGGTCGGTCAAATCTTTACCTTCTCATAACTCCTGAACCCCTGGTCTGATCTGGGTGATTTTTGGATATGTTCCTCACCCAGATCAGGGCTACCAAAAAGTATATCCCCCATATTTGGGGTACATCTAAGAATTGGGGAAAAGTCTGTAATGTATAATTGGGTTAACTGTTAATCTAAGGGGAGGAGATGTGTGGGAGGTAACGTCTATGGGATTGGTTACTGTACTAATTATGGTGAGTCCCTCCCTTGCATGGGAGAATCTCATAAAAGCAGGAATGTTGCCATTAAAAGTCAGTTCTACTCCTGATACTGTGTGACGTCCAGTGATTGGGGAAGGTGATGGGATACTGTTGGATTTTATTGCTTATTGTGCTGGTTATCCTCTTGGCTTTACTACTTGTTCCTGCATCCTTTTAATATACGAGTGGAGTTAAAGCTGTGGGATATCAGCTCTCCGCTACAATAATATTATACAGGTAAGTGAACACAGATTATAATATAATACAGTAAATTAACACAGATTACAATATATTATATAGGTAAGTGAACACAGATTATAATATCACCAGTACTGATAGCGGGTACACACTGACTATACACTTGCACTGATAGCGGGTACACACTGACTATACACCTGTACTGATCGCGGGTACACACTGACTATACACCTGTACAGATAGCGGGTACACACTGACTATACACCTGTACAGATAGCGGGTACACACTGACTATACACCTGTACTGATAGTGGGTACACACTGACTATACACCTGTACAGATAGTAGGTATACACTGACTATACACCTGTACAGATAGCGGGTACACGGTGACTATACACCTGTACAGATAGCGGGTACACACTGACTATACACCTGTACAGATACAAGTACACACAGACTATACACCTGCACTATAGCAGGTACACACTGACTATACACCTGCACTGATAGTGGGTACACAGTGACTATACACCTGTACAATTAGTAGGTACACACTGACTATACACCTGTACAGATAGTGGGTACACAGTGACTATACACCTGTACATTTAGTAGGTACACACTGACTATACACCTGTACAGATAGTGGGTACACAGTGACTATACACCTGCACTGATAGCGGGTACACACTGACTATACACCTGTACTGATAGCGGGTACACACTGACTATACACCTGCACAGATAGTGGGTACACAGTGACTATACACCTGTACTGATAGCAGGTACACACCGACTATACACCTGCACTGATAGCGGGTTCACACTGACTATACACCTGCACTGATAGCGGGTACACACTGACTATACACCTGCACTGATAGCGGGTACACACTGACTATACACCTGTACAGATAGTGGGTACACACTGACTATACACCTGCACTGATAGCAGGTACACACTGACTATACACGTGCACTGATAGCAGGTACACACTGACTATACACCTGCACTGATAGCGGGTACACACTGACTATACACGTGCACTGATAGCGGGTACACACTGACTATACACCTGCACTGATAGCGGGTACACACTGACTATACACCTGCACTGATAGCGGGTACACACCGACTATACACCTGCACTGATAGCGGGTTTCACAGTGACTCCATATATATGGTATCCTCAATAACAGCCACCAGAAGTGTCCATATGAAGATTAATTCTAGTACAACGTCTTGGATCATATATCAATATACAGAGTCCCTTCACAATAATGTGGACGCAGAGAGATGGCTATTTGAAAAGATATCACATTTATAGTAAAGTGTGATCATCTATCTAGATAGAATCCAATGGTTGTTAAAATATTTATTTTATGGTTATGTATATGTATCCAAAATGTGCACGTGTCCCCTTCATATGGTGACTATAAGCCATATCACTGTACATAATTTACTGTAGAAGGCTATTAACATCATAGAAAGATATAATGTACATATAGAGTATATATCCATAGCTATACCCCCTAAAAAAACCTTATCTTTGTATTCATATCAAAATAATAATAATAAAATAATATAATAATAAATAAACCTAAAAAATGTGATAAATAAAACACTACACACACCATATTACAAAATCTACAATCTGGAGGTCACTTTATGAAGAGCCTGAAAGTTTGAGCCTGCTATTTATAGGCTCATCAATATGTGAGTTTATCCAACTTGTATTTTATATTGTCCAAGTTGTATACATATTACGCTATGAAGTGTTTTTAATGTTTTTTTTGCATACAAGTGATCACTACCATTTTATCCACGTTTATCTAGAGTGGTAGTATTGTATCTTTCCTGTGTGCTTGCTCTCACCTATCTACTTTATTGTTTCATTACCTGTTTCGTGTTGTTTGGGAAACCAACACTGGTGATTGTAGCGGCACTATCTTATTCTTTATTGAGTCACTGTATTTTTTTATTTGTGTGTAGAGTCAGTGTGTACCCGCTATCAGTACAGGTGTATAATCACTGTGTACCCGCTGTAACGGATCACCTGGCACCCCGACTGGGTACCTCAGTTGAAGGATGCTCCTAGTGCTACCTGAGGACTCCAAGCACTGCAGCAGACACCACCGAACCAGAGAAGCATACGAATGCTCTCAAGCATATGAATGCTGTAAGCAGCTGAACAGGAAAAGCATACAATCAGCTTACACTCCTGGCAATCAGCATACAATCCAATTCCCCCAATAACGAGACGACACTTCGTTTTGAGGTCAAGCAGAACTGACTGGACTGGCACATACAGCCTCTTTTATTCACAATCCACAAACATAGTACTGCCCACAGGGTTTTGAAATACAACCAATCAATCCGTACAATACACACAGACACTCCCACACAAAATCCTCCCCTCTGACTGTGATATGATTACTGAACACAGTGGTTAATATAATTATCTCAGGCAGAGAAATACAGTATTATAAAACATATCACAGGGAGCCCAAAACATGCGATAACCCCATAAAAACCGGGGGATCTGGGTGAACCACATATCCAAAATTCACCCAGATCCGTTCAGTACTTTGGAAAACACAGTTTAATGCAGATTCTGCAGAACATATACAGGCTAAATAAAAAACAATCACTTTATAATGTGTCCCCTGCTGTATAGTCCAAAACCACCGCACGATGTCTCTGTGCAACAAATACTGGCGAGATGGCACCGTGTTGAAAAGTCCAAACAGTGTATGTGAGTTAAAATGGCCACCATCCATTGTTCTCACCATGTGCTTCTGATACAGGAAATGGTGGCCACCCAGTAACTCCACAGTATGTCCCCAGATGGTTCTTAAAAGGGCCAGCAGCAGCACAACACAAATCCCTTATGCCCAAATCATGTCTTTAAAGGGCAATACATCCCAGGGGCTATGGTCACATGGCAGGAGGCAGGCAATCAGTCTTCTCCAATGCCCAATGGCGAGGTCGGTTTCGCCACAGTAGTATTGTATCTTTCCTGTGTGCTTGCTCTCACCTATCTACTTTATTGTTTCACACACTGACTATACACCCGTACTGATAGCAGGTACACACTGACTATACACCTGCACTGATAGCGGGTACACACTGACTATACACCTGTACTGATAGCGGGTACACAGTGACTATACACCTGTACCGACAGCAGGTACACAATGAAAATACACCTGTACTTGTAACGGAGCTCCAGTACTCTGACCGAGTACCTCCGCCAAGTCTGCTTCCTTGTAGCTATCAGGGACCCTGAAACCCTTCAGACCCAGATGCCGAGGCTTGACTTGGGATCACTTAGGGCCTTTTCCACCCTGGACCAAACACCAGACGACACATGGTGAAGGTTAAACAACAACTCTTTAATGAATACAGCACACATAGTTTAAGCCCCCAACAGCCTCATTTACATACAATAGGTTACATAGATTACTATAGTACAAGGGCTGATAAGAGATTGAGGAGGGCAGAGCAGCCAGTTTAAACTGGTCTGGCAGTGTCCCTGGGACAACGCCCTGCTGGGGAAACAATAGCACAGGAAAAAGGGGGAGTGGGAGATGCACAGACCAGCAATACATTCAACATACCCTGCACAAATAATAGGCACAATGTGACAAAACACAAAAGGAATTTGGGAGCCCACCCATAGTGTCTGTCTTCCATCCCCAGTGATGGTGAACCGTCACAATATACAAATAGAATAAAGGATAAATGGACAGATTCCCAGGCTCTCAGAGCAAATTAACAGATTCTCAGTGTGAATGGACAGATTCCCAGGCTCTCAGAATAAATGGAAAGATTTCCAATTTCTCAGAGTAAATGGACAGATTCCCAGACTCTGAGAGTAAATGGACAGATTCCCAGGCTCTCAGAATAAATGCAAAAAGCAAACAAGATATGTGAACACAACCCCAGTGAGAAAGGTGTATAATTTTAAACAGAAGGAATTTGGGAGCCCACCCATAGTGTCTGTCTTCCATCCCCAGTGATGGTGACTACCGTCACAGTACTGATAGCCACAAATTACTGTGAATATGTCACGGCTGCTAGTGTGGTCTAACACGCAGAAACTATGTAAAAAAGGAAAGGAAATAAAAGGACAGAGCGTAAACCGGACCTTAGAATGGCCGGACTAATACGCTAGAGATAGAGAATGGTCAAAGAGAAAGCCGAGGTCAAAGAAGCCAAAAATACTCAGATACCGTTTAAACAAGCCAAGTCAGGGGAACCAGAATTCGGAATAACCAGGGAAAAGCCAAGATTAGGATACCAGGAAGTCAGATTCACAAAGATAAACGCACTCTCGGGAACCAGGAACAGGAAACCAGGACAGGGCAAGGAACTGGAGTGAATTAGGTATTTAAATATCCCTCTCTGGGCTCTGATTGGTCAGAAGGTGACCTCTGACCCCAGAATGTGCGCGTACGTTGACATTGTGATGTCATACGCACGTCCGTATAAATTTGAGGGGCGGAGCTTGTGGTGTGCGCGACCACGTGGTCAGCGCCATCTTTGATTTGGGCGCAATGCCCAGAAGACGCGGAGGAGCGGTTCCCGGCGCGCCGGCAAGCAGGTAAGCTCGCAATATCGGCAATATCGAGGTCATGCCGGTCGGGAGCCGCAACAGAATATTACCACTGTGGAGCTCTGTGAACATAGTTAAGCTTCTAGTAATAATGAGAAGTATATTCAGGGCTTCAAACCTTGTGCTTCTTCTCGCCACACACTGCGATGGGTGCACTCAATCTGCTTTTATAAAACGTTAGAAAGAGCTGACACTATTAACCCTAAAGCTTAGTTTACGGTGTTTCCTCTGAGGCTTCGATTTAATATTGTTGGATAAGTTTTCCGTAGGTTTTAATTATTTTGGATAATTCTTTGAAATCTAATGATAGTGATGTTTAGAAGTCGCTCATTTGTGGATTAATGGCTGTCAGTCGGACATGGACATAATAGGGTAAATCTTAACACGGCTTTTCTCTTGTCTCCCCATGCAGACGGCAGACACGTACAACAAGACACCTGCTCCTTTCATTGCAGAACTTGCCCCCTGGCCTCTCGCTGTCCCCGGTGCCATGTTGTAATCTGCACCCTCTGGAGGAGCTGTGTCTGTTCTGTGAACCCTGCTCGTTACCGTGCTGCAGGGACTGTGCACTTATCAAACATCGGGGCCATGTAGTACGTCCCGTGTCGGAGGTTGCAGGGAAGCATCGAGAACAGCTTCATATGGCCCTAAAGGAGGCAGAGCCTCAGCTTCGGGAACTGGAGGCAGCAATGCAAGGAGTGCATAGTGTTAAGGAAGCCATGCATCGGAGAGCTGAGGTTCTTCAAGGAGAGGTCGAGGCCTTTACTGAGAAATATATCCGTGCTGTACGTGAGCACAGGTCCCGGCTACTAAGGGACATAGATGAAGCCATAAGGCGGAGGCAGCAGACACTCAGTTTGCAAGAAGCCCGGATACAGCAGCAAATTTCAGACCTACGTACGGCCACGGGATTCACTAAAGGCCTACTAGACAGAGGGCCAGACTTGCACTTCATACGGACCCGAAGCCTCGTGTCAAGCCGTATCACGGAGCTGGGCGTGAGAGACCAAAGGATGGTGGAGATGGAAGAGGCCACAAACATTCAATTTAGCCCTCAGGAAGAGGCAGGACAATGCCAAGGGTACCTGATGTATGGGGCAGTTAAAGGCCGCGAAGTTGATCCAGAGAAGAGTGAGGTCCGGGGTAAGGATGCCATGGCTGGTATGAATGTGGGTTCTGTGGGTAATTGGGGTGACATTATACAGAATGCACGCCCCCAAACAGTCTTGATTTCAGAGGAACAATCCTGATTCAGTTAAATGCACCTGCTTCAAGGTCCTTTAGGTTGGAGGCTGGCCAGACAGGCCCCATCAGTGGGCCAACACTCAGGGTCCACCTCAATCTCATGAGACAAATATACAAATATACTTCTAGAAAGAAAATTAAAGGACAATGGTCACCTCAAAACTATTTTGAATATAACAATACTTGAAAGTAAATAGATGTTTTTTTAATAGAATATAAAGATCCTGTAGCGGAGCTGCAATCCCGAGACTGAATATGTCCACTGAAGTTCTCTCAAGCTGAAATAAAGCGCTGCTTAGTGATTATAGCCCATTCCCCCAGTAACTGAACAACACACAATTCTGGGAGTCAACAGAGGTTTGAGCCACAACCGGCTTTTTGTGCACAGATCCTGAGCATGGGGTCTCAAATGAACATAGCAGAAACCCCTCCCAGGCGTCTCTGTGTCTGGGAGATAATTGAGACAAAAGAAGGATTATTCAATTATCTCTCAGTTACAAGAAGCCATACAAAAATACACAAAATACCCCAAAGACATATCTAAAATATACAGGAACCCCACAAGTCTTATATCCTCGAATAGCCCAGATCTGAGTGCCCAATGTAGCGGAACGCCAATAATAAATCCACGAATTCCGCTGGTTCAGAAACGAATCCACAGTCAAGCGCTGAAAACCACAAGGCAATATCCCCAATCTCCCAATAACCGCACGAGACACAGTTCTGAGAGTCAACTGAACTCCTTTTAATCGGCTGGACAATTTATACAAGTCCCCATGCAAGGGGTTTCCTGAGTCCCTTCCCAGGGGCACTCCCAGAAGGGACTACATGGGGGACTTACATTACAGCATATTACATTAGTGGATTACCCCCTCGTGCAGCAGAACCGATAATTCACACAAAAATCCATAACTTAGTATATATACAGTGGATTCACACGAATGGACGTTCGGTAGATAGCTGGAGTCTGAGCGCATCATTCGTGAGATTACCGCTCAGATCCCAGCTAAAATAACCGAACGCCGCACGAAAAACACATTTCGTATAAAACATATAAAAAGAACCGATAGCTTGCAGGGAACAAAATACCGAATGTCCCGAAACTCCCGAACGTCCTGGAGGCTCAGCGGTGTTCGTGCCGTCGAGTAGCCGTTTTTAGTACCAGGCGCTCGACGACATAACACCGCTGAGGGAACAAACGATCCAAGATGGCCGACCGCCGCATGGTCGGTAGTCGAACGACGGTCACCCAGGAGAGCCTCTAATTACCGATTGCAACATTGTTGCAATCGGTTAACGAGCGCCACACGCCTCTAAGTGTGTGGGCTATTAGGGAATTGCGTTCGGTTCACGAACGGCCCTCCAAAGTGCCGTTCGTGAAACGAAAGGAAATCCCCATACAAACCGCCATTTGCATTCGGCGGAACAGGCAATTACAGGTAATGCAGAGAATACATGAAGCATACACATATAGGTTAAAGCGCATATCTCTCCAGACCTATAGGCAACCCTTAAAGGCATAGTGTCCAGTTATAGTCCAAGTGGCTAGGTTTGCCACACCCAAGTTGTCCAAAAACGTGCTCAGATCCATTCAGTAGAATGGAATCGCCTTTTGGGTAAAGTTCTGACCAGCCAGCCACGAGGCGATAGCCCAAAATATTTCCACAGGAAAAGAGGCAGCGGCCAGTCTATTTTCGGGTGTTCCACGAACGCTCACCCTAGCTTTTAGGGAGCAAATGCTCCCATTGTTCGGTATATCCTTTCTCCCGAACGGCGTTCGGACTGGTCTGGGAGAGGAACGGGGAAAGCACCTGTACTAATTGCTCTTTGAAGTTAACGAGTCAGTGGTGGCCGGTGTTCGAAGGGTGTAAAAGGAGGACCACACATGTTCCCTTTTGGCCAAGCACAGGAGTACAAACAGTCAAATGGAATGAATATGTGTTATACAGCGGACATAGGCTGCTACACGAGGATATGTTCGGGAAAGAATAGGTACAGCAACCGAATGGGATAATACAAAGTCCGCCACATTTCCCATTGTCAAGAGAACAAGCTATTTCAATTAAAGGGACACTCCACTGCCTAAATCCAAAAATAAATTAAAATCACTGTTTAGTAAATATGTCCCAATAAAAACATGCATGTGTTTAATTATTCTTTCCCCCCCCTTGGGGCATATCTAAAAACAGTGAGTAAAAGCTGCAGATCTCTTGTCTTCAGCCTTCGTAAGCCCTCCCCTTCCAACTCCGCACAGTCTTTCTGTGGCTGTCCAATCAGAGACTTCCCAAGGCAGCTCAATGAGAAGTCTTTACAAGGCAGGTGCTCTGGGTAATTGCTGCCTCTTGAGTTTAGCTCCGAGTGTGACAGAGTTCCATATGGTGCCAAGTATGACAGATAGCCGCGTACAGTGACGAGTGTGACAGAGAGCCCCGTACAGTGCCAAGTGTGACAGCTTCGTACAGTGCCAAATGTAACATATAGTCCCATACAGTTGCAAGTGTGATCGATATCCCCATACAGTGCCAAGTGTGACTGATAGCCCTGTAACATGCTGAATGTGACTGATAAATATATGTGTGTCATATTATGTCTAGTAAATGGCTGTTTCTATATCTATTCCTAGGAGTCCAGATTGCCAAGGTGGGGAAGGTCAGCAATTTCAAGTTAATCTGTAATGATACATCAGGAAATTCCCTGAGGTACGGAGGGCAATGTCCCAGAGTCAGCATCCTGCACCAGGGCACCGAAAGGTAAATCACTCAGAAACAGTGCGGGCAGACTCCTGGCACTAGGGGTAGGCAGCCTTTGGCACTATGGATGTTGTAGACTACATCTCCCATTATGCTGGCAAAACATCAGGGGAGATGTAGTACACATTATCTGGAGTGCCTGAGGTTACCTACCCATGTCCTACATGAACAATACTGGCAGATGTCTCCGTCCAAGAAGCAGGTCTATAACAGCCGCCATGTGATTGGGAAGGATTCCATTAGAAGTTGGAGAATCGACGAGGTTGGGCATAATACTGGCGATGAGTCCTGTTACTACTCATGATAAAGTCCACCATGGGGACCTCTGGAAGTCAGTCTGGTTTCGTTCACACCAACCCTGGACCCCACTTTGTGTACGAAGTCCCTGAAACAGGAGGAGGAACCTCCATGGAATATCACTGTATGCTGCTGTCATGACGAAGTTCTAGTAGAATAAAAACATTAATCCTCTTTACCAGCTAGTCGTGGAGAAAGCAGCCTTTTTACAGACAACCCTCTCCCCTGTGTGTAAGTGCATGTTAGGTGCTCTTACACTTACGATATGGATTTCTCATGAATATCTTTCTATTTTTCCCCTATAAGGAGGATTAATGTTTTTATTCTGCTGGGACTTTTCCATTGGAGTACAAGGGTCAGTTTTCTGTTTTACATTGTACCTCAGGGGCTGTGCACGGTACACTGCCGAAATACATCACTGTTCAGGAGATATACCCCAATGAAAACATACATGGATTTCTTCCTTGATGGTATGTGCAATAAGAACTTGCAAAAGTTGCAGATTTCCTCTGAAGTCTCTACAATCATATTACTAATGAAATCTGCACTTTTTTATTTTTTTTTAAAAGAGAACATACTCTTTATACATAAAGCATTCTTCCAGTAAAGCGAAGTACGTTAGGAGTGTCTGTTTACTATCGGACATTCTAAGGACCATTAAAGTCACCTACTTTACTTCATCTCGATGATATGGTCTCAGTGCAGTAATTCTCCAATTTTAACCCTTAAAGTGTTCACATCTCACACTGACCACTGCTAGTGGCACTTCTGCTTTAAAAACCAATTAGAACGCTGTCATGTGACATTCGAAGTGTACGAGGACATCGAACATTATCAAATGCAGCTCATACGAAAGCACTGAATTCACACCATTTTCCTCTATGGGGAGCATTAGATTGGATGGACTCCTGGGATTGGAATACTCCATGACTGGGTGCAGGAGGTGGAGAGTTCAGCATCACAGAAGAAGTATAGGCACTGAAAAAAAGTTTAAAGTAAAACCTTTTTCTTTTTTTACACGTTTTACTGCACACAGAGGGCGGCACTAATTTAAATAGCGACTGGGGCACTATAGTGCTAGGAATACAGGTTTGATATAGTTTTCCTGTAAGGTAGCAGTGGATCAATCTCCTTTTTTTAGTGAATAACCCCAGTATAAATATGTATGGTGGAAGGTGGAGAACATCCACAAATCCAGCCACAGGGGTCAGGAGGAACTGCTTGATGTGTTTTCCTTTCTGTCCCACACAGATCACTCCAACCCTCGATTTGGGATAAGCATGATGGCTCATACCACATCTCATACACTCCCACTGCGCCGGGGGAGCTGCTAGTAAGCGCGTTGGTAAAAGACCGCCACGTACAGGTGAGAGGAGAATGATCTGGTTACTGCCCTATTAGTGATTTTATTATTGATCCAGTGCAAAATATATAGCGATCCATAAAACTGTATTGATGTCATGCCATAGGGTGCTATCTCGATATTAGTAATGACTGATCAGAGGTTTTAATCTCCCCCTTGAAATACATGCAATACCTCTGGGATAGGTTGTGTATCACTCTGCAATATACGCGTTACTGCTATATAATTCCCTTCTTCAGTAAGCACACTGCAGCTCTACCACCCCCCTCTGCTACACTGGTTAGTCCTCTGTCGTCTCATTCTGCTTTATACTCATTACTAATCTACCATCTCCCCCTAGCTGTATACTCGTTACTGCTCTAATGTTGCCCTGTGCTATTCCTAGGGTTCTCCATTCACCGTAACTGTGAAGGGCAAATCTCAGCAGCACCCTGGGATCTATCATTGCTGCTCATTCTGCTCAAGTGGAGGACAAAAGGATGCCCGATGTGGGTGTGGAGGGTCCATGCCAGGTACAGAAATCCTGAAATAAAGATAGAACAGATAATTTTCCTCCAAAATGTAAACACTGTGTAGTGAAACTCAGTATTCCTGTAGTTTTAACCATTGACGCATTAAACACATCTCACACCGACTGCCACTAGTGGCACTTCTTTAACAAGTAAAACTGTCATGTGACATTTGACGTGTATCAGAACCTTGAACATTATCAAATGCAGCGGATACGAGTCTGTGAAACGCAGACTCATTGTCCAACACAGACCCCACCCACACTCGACCTCATCACCTCCCAACACAGACCCCAGCCGCACTCGACCTCATCACCTCCCAACACAGACCCCAGCCGCACTCGACCTCGTCACCTCCCAACACAGACCCCAGCCGCACTCGACCTCGTCACCTCCCAACACAGACCCCAGCAACACTCGACACCCAATCTGGGCGATTTTTGGATATGTTGGTCCCACAGATCGACCTATCAGGGTACTTCCATGTGTTTTGTGGGTACTTTCGGGATATTGTTAAAATATATGTTTTCTATGCGTGGAGATCATTGAGTTTAGTACAGTTCCTGACTCATTTATTATCTCAGAATTATCTCAGTGCTTGGAGTACTCGGTGAGCACTAGGAGCATCGATTGGCGGAGGTACCCAGTCGGGGTGCCAGGCGGTCCACCACAAATACGATTCCAAATCTCCCAAAATATAATGAGGTTAGATACCAATCTAGCCATACCAGCAAGCAGAAAATGTGTGGTACCTCCCCCTCTAGAGAAGGGTTAAATACTAGACTTATCATCCCTAAATGAAAACTTGTGTTATTAAGAGAGTAGTTGTTACCTACTAATTACCCCTCTGTTTCCTCCCCTGTAGGTGGGTATAAGGGCTGTGGTCATGGTCACAAAGGTCACCCTGGGCACCAACATTGGTCATGCTGTGGAAGTACTGTGGAGAAATCTGAATGTCCGGGTGCCAAGGACACAGCTCCCCACAATCTCCTCCGAACTGTTGCCTTGTGAAGGATAAAAAATGACAGACACTATTACCGTCCATGTTCCCACAGGAAGCAGACGGGGCCTTCCCAATGGACAATAATGAATAACACTCACTGCTGCAACAAACACTCCGCCACATTAAAACACACTCATCACAGAGCACTGCAGTCTGATATTTACCCATCAGCAGCAGCAGCTATTACGTGTGCCTTATTTTATCCATTGTACAGAGCGGCACAATATGTTGGCACTATATGAACAATTGTAATGGCAGCGGGTCTGTTATTTAGAAGAAGTGCCTTATGACTAAGCAGACTGTAAAAAATAACCTTGCCATTGGACAACAGCCATTCCTTACATGATCTATTTAGCACAACTATAAAATTACTCAACTATAAAATGTTATTTCTCTTTCTTTAAGCCAAAAACAGGGTGAGGGTATTTATTAGCATGTGATCCAAAAGGGTTTTAAGTTTGTGTGTGCCTGAATTTACCGCATCACTTGACAATTGTTCTTTTTTTCTTTTTTTTACCAGCACAGAGACACTTTTAAATAAAATGAACAAACCAATATAACGCAAGATAAACTTTGAAAAGTTTGTAATAAACATTTATAAATTTACTATAAACGTGGTCAGATTTCATTGTTAGGCACGCTTCTCAGCTAGAGGAGTTTCTTCGGCTCCTCCCCCTTACACACATCTAACTTTCAGACTAGTCACTGATTACAGAAACATAGTATCATTGTACAGCAGCAGGAGAGAGAAACCAGATACCAGAGCCTGCTGTGTATGATCACACTGATACACCTACTCTATTATCCCCCTGTTGGAATGTTTTAAGGTGAAGAAAGATCTTCCAAGTCCACATGTGTAAATCTGTCTGGCACGCCCAAAGCTCTTTTCCAGCATACCTGGGGATAGGACGCTGATTGATCAGATCAGTGTGCCCCCTAGAGTGGGTGTGGAAAGCAAAGGAAACATGAAGCAGAAACATATGAAGAAATATAAATCATTTACCTGCTTTTTCAGCCTGCAGAGTAAAGCTTTATTAAGAAGACCATTGTCTCAAAGATGAATGTCCCTTTAAGAAACCATCACTGTCAGATTTTTGATATACTGTTTACTTATTCCTACATTTAGCAAGTGTTTGTAAGATCTACAAAAACAATTTTAAATGTAGAAATTCAGGGAGCTGTATATACCTCTATCCTTGGTTCAGTTTGTATACAGAGTATCTCCATTGTAGCTAATGATCTACAGCGGGTTCTAGCAGGCTTACTCACTGAACTGGAGAATGGAGACAAATCGCTGATCTGGGACAATTCTCCAACTCCCCTACAGCCACAGTTGGCTTCTTTCTCAACTTTGCAAATCAAATTGAATTCACTACAATTCGGATTTCAGCGAACAGCCCTGTATATCTGGCATTTGTATTTGGAGTCTGTTGCCTCTCAACTAGAGAGTGTGGCGGAACCAGCCTCGCCACTGGGCATTGGAGAAGACTGATTGCCAGCCTCCTGCCATGTGACTATGGCCCCTGGGATGTATTGCCCTTTAAGAAACTTATTTGGGCTTATTGGATTTTGAAACACTTTTTCTGCCCCTTTGAATACATGGGAAGGTGTGCCCCTCCCCCGTTTCCTGTCTACTGTACTCCAGCAGGGCGTTGACCCAGGGACACTGCCAGACCAGTTGGAACTTGCTGTTTTGCCCCTCCTCTGTCTCTCATCAGCCCTTGCTATGGTTTAACCCCATGGCGATTTGTCTGTGTTTGTGGGATCTGAGTGCTGTTCGGATATAGTGAGCGCTCAGATCCAAGCTATCTGGGGATAGGTTGAATGTGGGGGTTCTGTTCAATATAATGGGAATTATGTATTTTTAGGTATTTTACCGTTGTTGTAAATGGAGATATGCCCTGTACTGGGGATAAGTAAGTTACCACACCTAACTTTTAAACCACTGGAGGGAATTGTATGATGTTTGAGAATGTTTGTATATGGTGTATGCTGATTCTGAAAATGTAAGTTTTATGTGAATGTGATGTATACTTTTGGAGTTATGAATATTGTGCAAAACTGTGTTTGTTTCTGCCTGTGATAATTACGTTAGCCCATTGTGTTCAGTAATCATATCATAGGCAGAGGGGAGGAATTTGTGTGGGAGTGTCTGAGTATATTGTATGTATTGATTGGTTGTACTTTAAAACCCTGTGGGCGGTACTATGTTTGTAGAATGGGCAAAAAAGCGTGTTTGAAAAAAGGTTGAGTTCTACTTCACCCTCAATTTGGAGTGACGTCTCTTATTGGGGGAATCTGCTTCAAGGGATTGCTATGCTAGTCATACTCCCTTGCTATATCACTACTAAGTTCTTGTAAGAGCTTGTTCCTGTCTTGCTCTCTGAAGGAGTCTATGGTGGTTATGGTGTCGGCTTGGAGCCCTCAGGAAGCGCTAGGAGCATCCATCAACGGAGGTACCCAGTCTGGGTGCCAGGTGATCCGTTACAGAGAGGAATATAGCTTGATAGGGAAAATAAATCAGGACATCCTGAGGATGAATAAATCAAAGATAAAATAAGCAGATTTGTCACCGCTATGTCCGTGCACTAAGGGGCAGCAATGAGCCGGATAGCTCGGCAGCAGCAAATGACGCAGGGAGACCACGGCACTAGTGATCATTTTCATATCAATATCCTGAAATCAAAGTTAAAATCAAATTTCACAGTAGAATAAAATCAGTGATCCTGATTTTCACTTTCAATTCTCCAAACATTCCCAGTTTATTAATTAACTCTAAACTGCAATTATATAAATAAATAAGGTGACGCTTTGAATGTTTTTGAGGAATGAAGGAAATACACTTCACAAAACATATAAACACATTTATTTTATAATTTAAAGGACAAAACATACAGAGGCCAGTAGGGGTCCTTGATCAGGTTTCACCATCACTGGTTATCAGACACAGACTGACGTTTATAGATCTCCACCAACTACATGGCTGAGGATTACACGCCAAAGAGAAGGCGCAGATCGGCAAGAGTGAGTTTGGTGAAATTGGTGCCATTTCCAGACAGAACTTTGCTGGCCAGTTCCTTCTTCTTCTCTTGAAGCTGTGAGATCTTTTCTTCCACGGTTCCCAAACACACAAACCTGGGAAACAGAATTAACAGCCACGTCTATTTAATAGCAAACTTCTACTCCGCTAAACCCATCTAATGACCATCTGTCTAGGTTTTAGTAAAAGTATAAACAATTTAAAAAGATGAAATGATTCTAGTGACAATGGTCACTTAAACATGTATCCAAATGTATATACCGAACACAAGAAAAATTTAAAACATAACCATTATTGCATAGAATTACAATTCACAATCCATATAGGGATATACCACAACAGTAACCAAACCAGCTCCAATTAATTAAATCATGTTTATTGGCTCTGCTCACCTCACCTCCATAACGGCCATATAGTGCGATAACTGGCCATGTAGCGCAATAACTGACCATGTAGCCCAATAACTGGTTATATACCGCGATAACTGACCATGTAGCCCAATAACTGGATATATAGTGCGATAACTGACCATGTAGCCCAATAACTGGCCATATAGTGCGATAACTGGCCATGTTGCGCAATAACTGAATTATCTGAATATTTCTCTACATTTTGGAGACTGGTTTTCGCAAGCTGGTGGCAAGATTGCATGATGTATATTTCTACAGATTTGCAGCTGTTAGAATACACAGACATGTCCCCGCTGACACTCTCCATCTAGAAATGTACAAAATGAGGCCCACAAGAGATCTACACAAACGTGGCCCAGCCGACACACTGACCTGTGAATGACCACATTCTTGTGCTGTCCCACACGATAGATTCGGTCACAAGCTTGATCCTCCAGGGCTGGATTCCTGAGGGAGCAGAGAGTGATTAATCCACACCGACCCCACTCTGTATTTTAGTGTCAGGTCCTATGAGTGTTCATGTAAATGAGCCCGTCCCAATTCCTCACTCATTGAGGGACAGACAGAGGGGGACTTTAACTTTGGTGAATGGTGTCAATTTAGGAGTCAAGGAAGATATATCAGTGTGGGCTGATTAGCGGCGATAATAAATAAACTATTATGGTGACTTCTGATAGCGGGTTGGGATTAGCATATCCATTGACGCTCCCCAGTAAACCTCACATTTAAGAAGGATCTTTTAAATTAAATAGAAACCCACGCTCTCCAATCCCTCCATGTGCCTTATCAGATATTCTTCACTTTAGGGACTTCCAATGAAATGAGTCTACATAGCTTGTCAGCTTGTGTTTTTTTTTTTTTTTTTATCCTGTTGGGGGACAACTCAGGCTTTTTTCATTACGAGCTACCGCATAACAGGGTATCGTTAGATTTTCTAAAACACAGCTGTAAGTCAGAGGGTATTACCAGTGCATGTCCAATAGGAAAAGGTGGTTTCCTCCAATTAGGTTTAAGCCGACACCTCCAGCACAAAGGGAGATAAGCATAACCTGTAGGAACAGACCAAAAATTCAGTTTCCCATCCCAGCAACAACAGTGTCCACATTCTTATGTTTCTCACACCTGGGACCATCTATTACGTCATGGGAGACATGATGAGATCCAGCCCTGAAATGCTTGTACATTCACTCCTCCCCTTCCCGGACTGTAGGAATGGTATGACCGATGGTATGACCCATTTACAAACTTCCTGTTTGGAAGCAGGGAATGAGCTGATAGTTTCAGCCGTTATATCAGTGACCAGTGGCTTCTGACACAGAAATTAGTTCCTCTACAACTCAGAGTATAATGAGGGTGAATGAGGTTCTGGGAACTATATTGCATTCTGCAAAATACATGAAAATAAAAATATTAATACTTTAGACAGTGACGTGGTTAACCAACAAATAAAGGTATTTACAACTTTTTAAATAGCAGTTTGAAATTGGAAAGGTTCTCTACATGTCTGTATTGACTATTATAGATTGCGTCCTATAATTCCTCTATAACAGACTTTATCACAATACACCTAGGAAGTAAAGTACAGCAATTTAGAGGTGAAGTGGGAGATTCCCTTGCCTTGATATGCACGCATGAAGTATTAAGGCTTCATTACTCTATAATTATGTTTTTTTGTTTATATTCTAGAAACAAAAACAGGAAATCTTACCTGTGGGCCTCTGGGGTTGCTGTTAAACTCTTCCACTAGATCCATGCGCATTTTTGGGTTGACAGACCCATCAATAGTAGCGTAAGACAGGTGGATAGTTTTAAGGTGGCCTGCTACAATTTTCAGCATGCTGGTCCATTGAGACACAATGACACTGAAAAGACAATAAAACAATCGAAGGGCACAGATATCCATCAGAAAAGGACTCATATATGGCGGTCTGTTAGAGTATCACCGCCACGGATGCCCTTTTACCATAAAAAAATGCCAATAATCCACAAGGTATAATATCGCCGGTATCGCATAATCCCTGTGGCGAAAGTAACCTCGCCACTTGTACTTGGAGAGGCCTGCTTGCCAGCCTCGTGCCCTGTGACTATGGCCCCTGGGACGTATTGCCATTTAACCGCTTAAGGACACATG